CACTGTCTCAAAAAAAAAAGAGATATTTGTTCACATTTTTTTATTAAATCATAACTGTGTACATTAATGTATTTATGGGGTAAAATGTGCTGATTTGATATACGATGTGGAATGCTTATATCAACCTGGTTAATGTAACCTTCACCTCACTTACATATTTGTTGTGGTAAGACATTTATACTCTACAACCATGTCAGCCATGTACTGTCACAGTGCTGCACTTTCCCCCATCCCCCATGTCTCCCAACATCCACTCCAGTCACTGTTTCAACACAGTGACGGCCCACAGAATGCTCAGATCTTGCAAGGAATTGCCACACACTCTGAGCTTTGCAGTGGGCAGGCTTCCATACTGCCAGGTGAAGGGGGAAGGGTGGACTGGGAGTTCAGAATTGTGGGGAAAATATTTGTTCAACTTTATGCCAGGCAAGAGAATGCCTAGGCTCACAGGTGGAACCTCTCTGGAGAAGGAGTCCCAGCTCTCTCCTGTGGGGTAAAATAAGAGGTCTTCTGTTCACTGCTCGCTTATAGAGAGCACACAGTGAGCCACTCTCTTGGGGCAGGGATCTCTCATCCTCTTGGTGATGGGTTTTGTACCTCAAGTTTGTTTCCTTGGGGTCGCAGCTTGCCTCAGTAGGGATGATGTGCACTCATCAATCTTCTTTCTTAGCTCAGTTCCCAACCTTCATTTTCATAGAGTTCATTCTGTCCATTATCTCTCCCTCTGGACAGGAGCCTCTGTCATAAGCTGGCTCCAGTCAGCCATCTTACCTCTTCCCTCAATCTGTTTACATTTTTATAAGGAGATTTATTTGAGAAACATTAAAGCGTATGACAAAGCATGTATGGGCCACTTCATCAATACAGTGGGCAATAATAACATCCGTATTTGTGAAAGCACATATAGGTAATACTAGTGATAGTGGGCACAGATGAAACAGTTATGAGCAGACAACCCCTATCCACAAATAAATAGATCAGAAAGAGAAAAGTATATCATTGTGGTTGGTAATTGATACACCCAGCTTTGTAATTGCACTCATCTGAAATGCATGACAACAACTGAAGTCTTTTTTTTACCCCCAAAGTCTCACTGTCACCCTGGGTAGAGTGCCATGGTATCACAGCTCACAGCAACTCAAACTCCTGGACTAAAGTGATCCTCTTGTCTTAGCCTCCCAAGTAGCTGAGGCTATAGGCACCTACCACAACGTCTGGCTAGTTTTTCTATTTTTGTTTAGTAGCGACAGAGTCTTGGTTTTGCTCAGGCTGGTCTTAAACTCCTGAGGTCAAGGGATCCTCCTTCTTTGGCCTCCCAGAGTGCTAGATTATAGGCATGAGCCATTGCACCTGGCTCAACCTAAGTCTTTTGACAAGATCAATCAGATATCACCACAGTGGGTCACCACTGCATACGCCAGAGAGCCAAGATCTTGAGAAATTTTATCTTTCATAAATGTAGATGTACAGAAGGACATCCATTTATTGAAGAAGTTTCAGTGTTTTTGTTTTGTTTGTCTGAGACAG